GTAGACTTTAAGACAGTTGGTTTTGAGTTTGTGTTTTTACACTTCAGAATGCTGTGTAGAGATATACATTTTCCAGTCTTTATTGGCCTGAGGCAGATGAGGGTATTTTGGAGCTTTTATTCTGTACCCTTTGCTCCCTGATAATGCCCATAATTGCCCCATTATTTTTTTTCTGGGGGAAATAGAGCTTGTGAAAAGACTTGGACCCCATGAACAACAGGCTGGGGGCTCACAGTCATGGCTTCTGAGCAATCTACAGTTTTGTTTTTGTTTTTGTTTTTGTTTTTTTTGAGACAGGATCATGCTGTGGGATGTTCTGTATGTCAAATTACTCTGATTGGCCAATAAATAAAACACTGATTGGCCAGTGGCCAGGCAGGAAGTATAGGCGGGACTAACAGAGAGGAGAATTGAGAGAACAGGAAGGTGGGAGGAGACACTGCCAGCCACCACCATGACCAGCAGCATGTGAAGATGCCGGTAAGCCACGAGCCACGTGGCAAGGTATAGATTTATAGAAATGGGTTAATTCAAGCTATAAGAACAGTTAGCAAGAAGCATGTCACGGCCATACAGTTTGTAAGCAATATAAGTCTCTGTGTTTACTTGGTTGGGTCTGAGCGGATGTGGGACTGGCGGTGACAGAGATTTGTCCCGATTGTGGGCAAGGCAGGAAAACTCTAGTTACAGGGTTCTCAGTGTAGCCCTGGCTGTCCTGAACTTGCTCTGTAGACCAGGCTGGCCTCAAACTCAGACAGATCCTCCTGCCTTTGCCTCCCAAATGCTGGGATTAAAGGCGTGTACCACCACTGCCTAGCATTTTTTTGAGGGGGCAGCCAGGGCAATCTACATTTTGGGCCTAGATGGAAGCTGTGAAGTCCAAGAACTTCCTGAATGTCACGACACACGTTATTTCCAAGCCAGCGCTGCAGATGACGAGGAAAACATCACCTGCATAAACTGTCTCTATCAGTGATGTCCATGAGAACTAATTGAAGTACCAGGTATAGTTCTTCATAATACATAGTGCAATAGATGTGTAACTAATACAAAAGATCTGCCCACAATCACCTTGTTGAAGCCCAGTGTGACATGTACCATGCTTTGGAAGGGAACTCTGTTGTGGGCTGGCTTCCCTAAGAGTGCCTGGCGGTTTTCAGTCACATCTCAAGGCAGAAGGTGAACCGTCACCGGGGACTGAGGGGTGTTGTCCCTTGGGACTCACACAGCAGGGCTTTGTCCTGTGGTGCAGCATGGGTACAGTTCTGTGACATCTGCGGCTGGAATAGGCTCAAAGTTGGTCAGGTGTGGTGTGCAGAGGTTCAGCACTGGCTGTGGGTGAGGCATAAGAGAAGAGTGAGGAGTGAGCTGATGCCAAGTCAAGTCTTCTGCTGGTTGGATTACGGGCAGTGATAGTCTGCGGAAATCATAACTTAGAGCTGGGGTACGACATCACACTGTTCCTGCCGTCCGTCTGAGCAGTCTGACGATACAGTTATCTCTTACTTGTTTAGTTTTATTTGAAAACTTTTCTTTATACGGGTATACTACGTATCAAAACTGTCAGACCAAAATGCTTGGTACTACGATCATTGCAGTGTGCACAATTATTTTTTCAAACTTTCTTTTTATGTATTCTTTGTGTCTTTCACATAATAATGCATCTCGATTCTATTCTTTGTCCCTTCGTATCCACGTTCTGCCCTTGCACCCTCCCCTCCAAAGTAAAACAAAATTTAAGAGAAAAACAGAAACAAAGAAAATCTCGTTCTGGAAGCTGCAGTGTGACACAGTGAGTCACGCAGTGAACGCTTGTCCATGTGTCTTTACTTGCAAGTGTTCATTGCAGAGTCATTGGTCTGGTTCGAGGCCTCTGGTTTCTGCTACATTCTTGATGCTGGGCCCTCACTGGGACTCCTCTTGGACATCCTCTTGCCCTGTGTCCTGGAGATCCTGCAGCTTTGGGTCTGCAGGGCCCGACCCCTTCACGTGCTCCCATAGATCATAGGTGGGGGGGATGTTGGGATGGGTCAACTCAAACTCTGGTTCTGGGCCTGGGTAGTTGCAGGGTTCATCAGCCAGCTGCTCTCCCCTGTCCTCACCACCAGGGGGAGCTCTCTAGCATTGCCCTGGCTAATTTACTTCTTGAAGCAATGAGCTTTCTGGCCGTCGGGGTAGGCTCTCCCACACTTGGACCATCAGGGTCAGCTCTGCTGTGCTATCCGGGCAAGGTGCAGGGCCAGTTTCCCGAGTGCCGCAGCTGGTAAGGGGGAGGGAGGGCCAGCTCCTTCATCGTGCACCACTCTTTTCATGTGGCATTTTAAAGACAGGGCCTTACTCCTAAGTGTTTGCTGGCCTCCAGCTTGTGGTGGTTCTCCTGCCTCAGCTCCCAAGTGCCGGAATTATAGGGGTGAGTCAATATGCTTGAATAACAATTCCCAAAATTCTTTTTTTCCCCCTCTTTTTTTAAACTTTTATTTTTCTGGGCACTAGTGTTTTGCCTGCATGCATGTCTGTATGAGGGTGTAAGGTCTGGGACCAGAATTATAGACAATTGTTAGCTGCCATATGGGTTCTGGGAATTGAACCCAGGTCCTCTGGAAGAGCAGCCAGTGCTCTTAACTGCTGAGCTATCTCTCCATTTCCTCAAAATTCCTTAAAATTAAAAAGAATTTAAAAAATATGTGTATTTGTGTCCAAGCTTGTATATGTGATTGTAGTGCCCCCATAGGCTAGAAGCCGGTATAAGGTCCCCCAGAACTGGAACTGTGTGTTGTTCTGAGCTACCTGACAGGGATGTGGGAATGGAACTTGGTCTTTTACTCTCGATGTTGAGCCATCTCTGCAGCTCCATGTTCCAAATTCTTAAGTAGAGATCCATAAGGGTGCTTGCATAAGCAGAAATTTAAAAACCTGCGGGCTAGGAAAACATCAATGTAATGAGGAAATTCTGCCTCAGTCAGTAATCACAGGGAAGCTTTCGTTTTCCACGCCATGCGTCAGTGGTGGAAGCGTGGAGCCCAGTTTCACATGTGTGTCACTGCTGTAGGAATTTCCAAGGGCCTTTCCTGATGTTTGCCCTAGAGTGAAACTGAATTGCTTGTGTGGCATTTGATTTTCTCTGTCCATCAAATAAAAGTTCTGGGAGGCCACTGTTTTGGACGTAGCTCTTGACCGACCCCTAACAGACTGGGCTACAGGTAGAAATGGACCTAGCCACGTTAGAGCACCATGTCACCAAACTGAAGCCAAACTTTGTCAGACCTTCCAGAAACCAGGATCATAGAGATGGCAGCCAACGCTAAGTTCAGTTTTAGTGGGTATTGTGGTGATGTTTTATTTGTGCTGAAATGTGATATTTTATTTGTATGTTAATAAATAAAGTTTGCCTGGAGATCAGAGGTCATAGTCAGCCATAAACAGAAGACAGGCGGTGGTAGCCCACGCCCTTAATCTGATCACATGGCAGGCAGAGTCTATGTGTTCAAGGACACAGCCAAGCATGGTGACACATGCCTTTAATCCCACTACCAACCATAGAGACTTGGAGGTCTACAGACAGGCAGTGATGAGGAAGTGATGTGGCTGGGCTTAGAGCCAATGAGAAGGCAGAACAGGAAGGCAATAAAGGCGCAGGTTAGACAGGAAGAGGCTCTCTTGGGAAGCTATGGTGAGGTGTTAAGCTAAGGTTAGTTGGTGACTATTGCTCTGATCTCTATGGCTTGCACCTCTGTATTTGGCTCTGTGTTTCTTATTTAATAAGACTGTTTAGAAATTTGTCTACAGGGTATGACAAAGATGTTCCCTTTACTTTAAACTTTACACAGGAAAGGTTGCCTGAGGTTAACTCAACATTGTCCTGCTGTTCTGTCTCGCTGCCCTACTGGGCAACAAAAGCATGTTTGAAAGGTGAAGGGATCATTAGCCTGCATTTTACTTTGGCTTTCTTGAGCTTTTACTGTCTGTAAACAACCTCTACCTCCACGCAGCACAGAGGATCCCTTTTTCTAGCTTATGCAATGATGTCTTGCCTGATTCTAGAATTGAAAGTAAATTAAGCTCTTAATCAATTATCCACTTAATTTCCATCTTAGTTATTTTGGGTGCTCTTAGAGGAGGCCATGGACATCTAAGGAACAGGATTGGCTTTTTGCTGTTCTGGTGGGCATAGATCTAAGCTAACAGTGATGGCAGCCTCTGTGTGCAGTGATGGTTGACTTCCAAGTTCATCGTAGGCTCCTCTGAGGGAAAGTGGGAGAAGGTACCAATCTTATTTGTGAAGTCTCCATCCTCATGACCTAATTACTTCCCCAAATCCCCCTGCTGCTGAAATCCCTTCCCACAAGGAGACTAAGCAACATCTACCCTTCCTCCCTGGGTCCCACCAGCAAACTGAAGCATTCTATTTTCAAAGTTAACTGTGGAAAGCCAGTGGTGAATTGGGTTTCCTTACAGAGCCTAGGTGAGAGGTTACTTACTGGGGTGTGGACACTCCTGCCCTGACTGGCCACACACATGGAGCCTCCACCCTCTTCCTCCTGAGCCTGTACACCACCAGCCCCTCCCAGAGGCCACTGCAACTGAGGCAGAGCTGTATAAAACAGATGGCAGGGAGAGACTGGATGTTCAGGTGAGGGTCTCATGACCCTCTGCACCCCACCATGTGGTGTGGTGGTATTCTAATTGTACTGAAATGTGATTTTAATTGTATGTTAATAAATAAAGTTGCCTGGGGGTCAGAGCTATTAGAGCCATAGACAGAGTGTGGCGGTGGTGGCCCAGGCCTTTAATCCCATAGATCTCTGTGTGTTCAGGGATACAGCCAGCATTGGAGACATATGACTTTAAGACCTGGGGGGCGATAAGTTTCAGACTTGGCTTTCAAGAGGAGCTGGTGCTATTGGCTTTGTGTGCTGTGCTGTGAGCCCTGCTGCAGGGAGTTGAGCAGAGAGCATGGCTGACCTAGGAACCCCTGACAAGAATGCAGTGACATATAATGATGTTCATGTCGACATCACTCAGGAAGAATGGGCATTGATGGATCCTTCACAGAGGAATCTCTACAAAGATGTGATGGTGGAGACCTATATGAACCTCACAGCTATAGGCATGAAAGACCTCATACCACAGAGAAATCCTGTGAATATATGGGGTGTGGTAAAGCCTTTGTATGTCATAGTCATGCTCAAAGGCATGAAAAAACACAAACTGGAGAGAAATCCTATGAATATAATCAATGTAGTAAAATCTTTGCACAACACAGTCATCTTCAAAGGCATGAAACAACACACATGGTTAAAAAACCTTATAGATGTAATCAATGTGGCAAAACCTTTGCTTATTGGAAAGTTCTTCAATTGAATAGAAGAACACATACAGGGGAGAAGCCCTATGAATATAATCAATGTGGTAAAGCCTTTGCACAGCCCAGTCATCATCAAGGACACAAAAGAACACATACTGGAGAAAAACCCTATGAATGTAATCAGTGTGGTAAAGCCTTTGCTCATAACAGTGCCCTTCAATTGCATGAAAGAACATATACTGGAGAGAAACCCTATGAATGTATTCATTGCGGTGAAGCCTTTGAATGTCCCAGTCATCTTCAAGTACATAAAAGAACACATACTGGAGAGAAACCCTATAAATGTATTCAGTGAGGTAAAACCTTTGCATGGCCCAGTCATCTTCAAGTACATAAAAGAACACATACTGGAGAGAAACCCTATCAATGTAATCAATGTGGTAAAGCCTTTGCACAGCCCAGTCATCTTCATGGACATAAAAGAACACATAATGGAGAGAAACCCTATGAGTGTAATCAGTGTGGCAGAGCTTTTGCTCAACATATTACTCTTCAAAGGCATGAAAGAACACATACTGGAGAAAAACCCTATGAATGTAATCAGTGTGGTAAAGCCTTTGCACAGCCCAGTCATCTTCATGGATATAAAAGATCACATACTGGAGAGAAACCCTATGAATGTGTTCAGTGTGGTAAAGCCTTTGTATGTCCCAGTCATCTTCAGGCACATAAAAGAACACATACTGGAGAGAAACCCTATCAATGTAGTGCTGTGGGATGTTCTGTATGTCCTGTGGGAGCCCTTCTGGGGTTCTTTGTGGCGTTACTCAGCAGGTCCGTATAGAGGATGATTAGGACCATGGGCCTGAGTGCAGGTGTTTGAGATGGTCTGCACTTGGCTGTGCTGGGGGATGGTCTGTATGTCAAGTTGCTCTGATTGGTTAATAAACAAAACCTGATCGGCCGTGGCTAGGCAGGAAAGATAGGCGGGACTAACAGA